GGTGGGAAGGAACATTTCAGAAATAGATAAACAATATATTTGCTGGTTTTGCAATTTTTCTCCCTGCCACGGAGGGAGCAGCACTCAGAGGGTTTCGCAAGGAGCTCTCCCCACCCAGCACCCAGGGTGGGACCTGCTCATGTTGCATCTCCTGTGCTTTGCCCTCCAGCCTGGGAGAAACCTGCTCCTGACGTGTTTATACGGAGCCCTCACTTCTCTGTCTGCTGCTCTAGAAACAAACAAATTGCAAGGGAAAAAAATCCAGGCAGGTAATGAACTGATGGCGTCCTCAGATGTGGAATCAGAACCACCCAGTTCTCTGGGAGGGCTCTGACGTGGGAAGGCAGAGCTGGATGCAGGCGCCATTCCTGGGCTGATGCACCTTGCTCCGTGCTTCTGCTTCTCTGGAAACTAGGGGGAGGACAGAGACTTTTCCTGCCAAGCAAAAGGGTTTATGGAAGAAAAAACCAGAAAATGACTCATGGCTGATGGCTGGGAAAATGCCATTTTGACTTTCTCTCTAGAACCACTTTTATTCGAACTGAAATAAGAGGTCAAAGATGTTTACCTGTCTCATGTGTTGGATATTCTGCTTGTTCCTAGAACATACTGCAGGCTGAGAACTGGAGATCCACAAATGCTCATTAATTTAGAGGCAGGTCTGTGGTGCTGCCAGGGAGGGAAGCACTTCCTCCCTGGGCCTGACAGGAGCAGCAGTGCCACCAGTGCTCATCTCCAGTACTCAGTACTTTTCCTTCCTCCCTGCCTTCCCTGTCTGACTGTGAATAAACAGCTCCCAAGGCCTGGCTTCACACAGACACACTAATTTCACAGTGAGGAGGCTAAAATTCAGAATGTCAGGTGGCCTGGCCGCACCTGAGCATCCTCCTGCACCTAAAGCTACAGGGGACTGCCAGGGCCTGATGGAATGGCTGGAATCAGAATCATAGGATCGTAGAAGGGTTTGGGTTGGAAGGGACCCTAGAGATCATCTCATTCCACCCCCTACCATAGGCAGAGACACCTTCCACTATCCCAGGCTGCTCCAAGGTCTATCCATCTGGGCCTTGGGCACTTCCAGGGATGGGGCAGCCACAGCTTCTCCGGGAAGCCTGTGCCAGGGCCTCACCACCTTTACAGGGAAGAATTTCTCCCCAAAATTCCATCTAACACTGCCCTCTGGCAGTTTGAAGCCATTCCCCTTGTCTTGTCACTGCAGTTACTAATGAAAGATCCCTCTGTATCTTCTCTGTAGCCCTTTCAGATCCTGGAAGGTGCTGTTAGGTCTCCACACAACCTTCTTTTCTTCAGACTGAACATTCCCAGCTGTCCCAGCCTGTCATCAGGACAAGCTCCAGGACAGGAGAATTGCACCAATCCCCTTATCTGCTTGGTGGCTTCCTCTGGGCTTGCTCCAACAGTTCCATGTCCTCGTGATCAGAGCACCAGAGTATTCCAGGTGGGGTGTCACATGAGCAGACTAGATGGGAGAATCCTCTCCCTCCCTGCAGCCCACACTGGGGGATGAGCCCAGGACATGGATGGTTTTCTGGGCTGCTCCTTGGCAATCCAAGGAGTTGTGTCATGAAAAGAGACACTTTCCAAGCTCTCCCAACTTCTCAGCTCCTGTGGGGAGAAGTCTCAGTGACAGCCTGAGCCCTTCAAAATGCTTTCCAGATCCTGCAGTGCAGAGGGAATCACTGCTTTCTGTCTCCACCCCACTGTGAGGGGCTTCCTGGTCTTTCCCAGCATTTCCCCGCACTCTTAAAGGGCAGACGTGTGGATGGCACACCATGCACACACCCATGGGCAGTGGACAGATGCAATTCACAGCATTAGGAAATCTGGGCACTGATGAGGTCTGACAGCCAGAGATTGATTCCTTCCTTTCACTGCTGCTCTTCTGCACAGGGAGAGCTCCCTGCACACGGAGTGGCATCAGCAGATGTTGGGAGGTGTTGTCAGGTGGCTCTTTAAACCACAGACTGTGTGACACCTTCCCCCTCAGAGATGGCATCTCTCCAGGCAGAGTGCTTCCCTTCCTTGCTGGGCATCCATGGGTCTCACTGATGGCTGCAGGGAATTCCATTCACTTGCCCACATTTGCTCCAGTGTTAGAAATGACAGTCCCTGACTTAGCTGGGTCAGCACCTAACACAGGGATTTAGGTTTTATTGTGGGGAAGTTTTGCCAGGAACAGGAAGGGATCAGGTCAGCCCCAGTCATTCAAGGATTCATAGACTCAAGGTCTGAGGTCCATTGGAGCTGGCAGGAGAACCCTCATCGATCTGGAGCCATTGGATCGGGTTCCTGCTGCAAAAAGGAATTCTGAGATACCAATTAGGTCCATGCCACTTGAAAGAGATTAAAATGGGCTCAGCCAAGCATCTGGTAGAATCAGCAATAAAAGTCGTGGACTGCCTTTGGTAATGAGCTTCACATCACACAGGAACAATTTTCCCATGAGTTTGCAAAAGGCTCCCCCGCCCTGCCGGGACCTGCTTGGACTTGCAGCCCAGGGCTCCTGTGTTGCAGAAAGGTGTCTTTGCAAACAGCTTCACCCGTCTCAGGGCTGCCAAGGAGAAGGACAATGCTACGGCCACTTTAAAACCCAGCAGGAAATCGAGAACCCATGATTCTGTCTCAGTAAACAGAGACACGTTCCCCCTCCCCTCAATGAGTGCGCTGCAGAGCAAGTCCCAGCTTTAGATAAACAAGTTCCTCTTCCAGGCTCCCTGAGTGGGTTTCAGCAGATGCCCAAGGGTTCCACAGCTCTGCCAAGCTTCTGACAGCCCTACACAATAATCCCAGCTTAAACTGACTCATAAAGGAAACCAGCAGGGCTCACATCTAACAAGCTGTTTTCTGTCCTGCAGCTGCTGCCAGCAGCTCCACTGAGCACAAAGTCCACCCTGCATCTTCCCACTGCAGCCCTGTTCATCCTTCACTGTCCCCAGGGTTTCTGAAACTAGGAAAATGAATTGAAATGAGGATGATAGCACCTCAGAAGGACATATATGGTAGATCATGACTTTATGGAAGGTCACTTGGCTGTTGCTGTGTGTGTGCTGCATCCCAAGCAAACCTGGGATGGAGAGAGCCTGTGTATATGGCCGTTCTGGATTTTATCCTGGGCAGCAGCGGGCTTGTCCCACTGCCAGAGAGCTCCCAAGACTCATCACAGTCGACTGTGCTGTGCCTCACCCTGGCTCTTCATTTCACCTGCGACCTGTCCTTCCAAACCCCGGGAGCCCTGCAGGGAGCTCTGCCGGAGGCTCTGAACCTGCCCCTACCCCACTCAGCCCCAGGTTTGTTCTGTGTCCTCTGGAGAAGGCACAGAGAGAAGCTGCTCCCCTTTTATCCCCTTGCAGCAATTCACCTGTTTAGATGAACATCTGAAAGTCTGAAAACTACTCAGATAACAGTGATCTGGGCATCAGCAGAACTGGACTAAAGGGTTTAGTCCCACCCAGGTGGTGCCAGGGAGCCCCTTGGGAAGGGTTTCAGCCGTTACCTCTGTAGCTTTCTGGGACACATCCGAGAGGATTCCCTGCATTCCTGAAGATCAGTTTGTTAATGGAAATATTTGGCTTAATTAATTAACATAATGACAATTCTGCAGAGTGTTGGAGGCAGGAATGATGCTGAGTGTGCTGGGGCTGGGATGGACTTAGGGCAGGGCTGAGGGACTCGGGGTGAGCCGGCAGAGGATTCCAATTTCTCTGTCACAGAGTGTTTCTAGGTTAGGAAATATGGATTTCTTTTTCAATGACATGAACTACTACACCAGGCACAGGCTTTTCACAATTCCAAGGAAACTATTAGGAGCCAGTGTTGACTTTTCTCTCCCAGCCAAAGGGACCCTTGGGTGGCCTTTGCAGAAAGCATCACCCAAAGTGCCACTGCTTAGAGTTGGATGAGAAAAAAACACTTTGATCCAACAGGATACCATGGATGAACTTTCCCAGGATAAGCAAAGGGAGATGAGGAAGGCAGTTTTATTCTTCAGTTCTTTTTATCCCTGTTTGCTGTATGTCTTAAAGATCTCCTTGCCAGGCTGCTGAGGGGATGCAGAGCACAAACTTAGCATCATAGGGCAAACAGCCCTAAAACAGTTTAATTTCTTTTCCTTTCTGCAGTACACACCTGAATGAGTTGTCTCTCATTTGGACATAACCCTGCAGGCTCCCACAAGCCAGCACTGACATCCCAAGGGTTTAACATTGCAGAAGAAGATTGAATTCAATCCTGGTGTGGCAAACTTGATGCAAATCTGGAGGACTTCTGATGAAGTGGTGAAGGCATTTTGAACTGACAGCAGGGCAGCTAAAGCCATCTTTTTGTTTTGCTAATTTTGGATGATTTATTTTATAATCTTTTATCCTTTCTTTTTTACTTCCTGTCTTAGTCATCTCAGTTTTTATTGCATATTCTCCATTGTTCCCAGAGCATCCCATTATCTGAACAGATACTACACGCCTTGTAACTCATAAGCAGATATTCATTGTCTCCACTTGTTTCTTGGCACAAGAATCTCTTCTTACTAATTTTTCACTCCCTTTACTCCCTTTCTAAGGAACTAATAGATGGGAGGGAAAGAAAAGAGTTTAAGGAAATTAAAAATAAGCGCAGGGACTGCTGGAAGGTCAGAATGGGGCATCAAGCTCCATGATGGTGAGAGATATGCAGTGAACTCCTGTAATTACAGGGTGGGTTAGACCCTGTGTGTTGGGAATAAAGCACTTTCTCTATTGCCAGGGTCACATTTCAGCTTTCAGTTCTGCTTTAAAGCTCCTGGATCCCACATCCTGATTCCTCAGTGTCCCTGACATCCAGGTGGGGTTTGGCTCCTTTGTAAGGGCTGCAGGTTGGATAACCTCCCATAAATTTTGGGCACGAAAATGCTTGAGCGGCCCAGGAAAGCGGTAGCAGGCAGCCAGGCGGGCCTGGCGGCGCGGAGCTCGGCTCGGCCCTAACGCGCTGTGTTTGGTGTTTGGCAGCTCTACAACGGGACGCTGAAGCGGGACGTGGAGAGCCGGCGCTACAGCTCCTACAGCCAGATGGAGGGCTGGGCCAGCCGGGCCCACAGCAAGGCCCTGTGCAGCCCCCGCGCCGGCAGCGACTACTGCTTCGTGCAGAACATCAAGAGCAGCCGCAGCGAGCCCGACCTCTACTGCGAGCCGCCCCGCGGCACCCTGCGCAAGGCCCACGGCGGCGGCCGGGCCGAGCACAAGGCCACCCTCAACCGCCAGAGCATCTACAGCAGCTGCAGCACCCAGCAGGGAACCAGCAGGACCAGTAAAAAGGTGCCGGCGCGGGCCCTGTCCTGCCCCTCGAGCAACAAGCCCGACGTGGTCTATGCCCAGCCCATGATGAGCTGCAAGCAGGACGGGGTCTATGGCCAGGCCCAGTCCAGCTCCAAGTAAGTGCTCGGACCCTGCGGGAGCGTGCAGGGCTGGGAGCTCTGTCCACCCGAGCTGCTGGAGAGCCCTTACCGGTGCGTCCCGCAGCAAAGTGGGTCAGATGAGTCACTCTTGAGGGCTTTGTTTAGTTTCCTGGGCTGTGGAGGGGAACTGATAGGACTGGCTCAGTGTAGATATCTCTGCTGTAGCTCAGTGATATTGAGCAACACAATCCCTCAGTGTCTGTGGTGGCATTAACCCACAATGATATCAGGATAGGGAGGTGAAGAGCAGAAGGCCTGGTGTGCAGTCAGGGTGTCTCTCCTGCCTGTCCTTCTGCTTTAGTCTGGCAGAAAACTTACCCCAAAAAAACCTGTCTTGGAAGGAGTCAGTTCCTGAGGGTCTGGCTCAGAGCAGAGCCTGCTAAGCAGTGCTGTTTCCCTCTCTTCTCTCCACCCAGCCCCTGCTTCATTTGTCCCAAAGGTTTGATTTGGGTTTCAGAAAAAAACTGAATCATAAATTGAAATGGATATCCTAATTGGAATAATCTGACTGACCAGGAAAGAGGAGACAGTGGAAGCTGTTCAATTCTTTCCTGTCCAGAGAATTCAGTCTCATTTTGAGTAGGAAATATATAAGGGTGGAGGATGGTCCATCATGTTTGTGCATTAGATCCCTTCTTGTAGATGTTGCCTACAAGCACGGGGTGTGGAAAACACAGCAGTGAGCTCAGACCCTCCCAAGGATGTACCTGTGAATGCAGCAGTTCCCACTGACAGTCACCTGGTTTGAGTGGTGACTGAATGGTGCCCCAATGCCCTGTGCTACCTCCAGCAGTGGAGCACCAACCATGTTCTGTTGCAGTCTTCGGAGAGACTTGGTCTGCACAAACCATAGTCTTGGAAGCCTTGGAAGACCATGGTTTGCATGTTTTGAACTGCAAAGCATTGCAGTGAAAGCTGGAGAGGGAGGGGCTGCAGCTTGCACAAGAGTTCCCAGGGCTACTGCTCTTCTCGTGCTGCATCACCATCACGCAGGACTTGCTCTGCACCAGCCCAGAAGCTCTCACAACTCCCTGACAGAGGGGGAATTTTGTCACACAAACCCTAAAAGCTCCTGAACTCATTCCTGGTAGTCCCTGGTCCCAAGGAGAAATTTCCCACTGCAGGATGTGTGTGAAACTGTTTATCAGGTCTCATGGACTTTGTCACAACTCCCACCAAAGGCCTGTAACTGTTGAGCTGCTGCCCCAAGGAATGATGGAGGTACTGAGAAGATCCCTTTCCCCTTCAGCAGTGTAAGCCAGACCATGCCCTTTTCCACATCTGAATGTCCCAGGTTACTCTGGCTAAGCCTCCCTCCTTTGGGATTGAGTAGAAGGGTGTATCCCAGAGCATGGATGCCAAGAAACATCTCTGCCCCATTAAAATGTTACCATGAGCCCTTGGCTGCCCATGTGCCCAGTTGCTCCATGTTTGACACATGCCAAATTAACCCCGGCCAGCCCAGAGCACTGGTGGCCTTGGCTTGCTGCTGTCAGCAGCTCTGTAAATCCTCTGGAACAGGATCCAGAGATGCTACACAAACTGGAAGTGATCTGTTCCAGGGAATTTCTCACTGAAGAGCATAAAAGTGTAGCGGGGGGGGGGGGGGGGGGGGGGGGGGGGGGGGGGGGGGGGGGGGGGGGGTGGTGGCAGAATGCCTGAATTCAGAGCTGCAGCTGCCATCTCCTAGGGAGGACACTGCTTTAGAGCAATTACTCCTGGCAGGCTCTGGCCAAAGCCACGGTCAGGGGCTTGGTCGTGGCTTTGGAGAGGTCACTTGGAGAACGATGGCATTTTCTGAGAGGAGAGCTGCAGTTTTGAGAGGGATCCTCTCCAGCTCTGGTCGCCCTTGGTTAGGGAGTGGCTCCATTTACACCCTCCTGGCTTGGGGCATGGATCATCTGGCAGAACTGGTTCTGCTCTGGAAACCTCGGGCTCCAAGTTGGGCTCCAAGTTGGGCTTTGAGTTGTGAGCTCAGCTGGGGCTGTGTCCCCTGGGTGAATGTGATGTGGCTGTGGCACAGCCGCAGCTCTGCCTGAAGCTCTGCAGAGCTGGGCTGGTGCAGGGGGCACCTGGTAGAGAAGTTGTGCTCAGAGGGGAGGACGTTGAGAGCAGCTGTCCTTAAAAGATTTGGAGACATACAAGGTTATCCTCTTTGGAAAAATGACTCTTTTAGATGACTCTTAGCCCTCAAAGTGTCTTGCAGGGCACTGTTGGCCTTCGTGTCAATGTGCTCTTCTCCACACTGGGAGGGGTTTCTGAGATGGGTCAGGAGCAAATCTGGGCTCTCCTTGTTATGTAGGGCTGTTGTGTCTGGAGGATTCTCCACCTAGAGATTTCAATCTCCCCTTGGCTCCCCCATTGCTGAGTAAGGAGAGCTTTGCTTGTAGGTACCCCATTATTAACCTCCACATGCAGGGACAGGGCGCAGCTGGGTCACAGCTGCTGCCAGTTCCCAGTTTGGGGCTCTGTCCTTTCATTCTGATCATTCTCCAGGTGCAGTTTGTGCCTATGTGACATGGAGAATTCTGTGTTCAGTTTTTGTGCTACAGGTCTTCTGTTTTAGGATGTGTTGGATGTCTTGTCTGCAGGTTTGCCAGTAGCCTGCAAGAACCAGGGGAGGGTTGAATGCTTTCCATGCATTCTGAGGTGGTCCATGGGGTGATTTCCATTGCTGTGAGAGGGATTGCAGTGAACCTGTGCTCCATTGGGTCTGTCTGTGGTACAAAACTCTGTAATGCCCATGGACTGGCTCCACAGTGGTGCTTCTCAGTCATCCTCTGCTGTGGATCTGGTCTGCCTGGCTGGTGTGAGAGGAAAAACGGGTCACTGGGTGTTCTCAGGTGGCAAGAGTGGTGTGCAGGTATCAAAATTCTGAGTGTGCAATAACTGTCAATCTGTGCTGAGCAGTCCCTCTGCATTTGGTGACAAAGATATTTAATTTCCACAACTCCTCTTGATTATGTGATTGCTGTCATTTATTGGAATGGCTTTGTCTGTATAAGACAGGGAAGAGCTGTCTCTGATAACTGATATCCCTCCATCAGAGTCCTCCCTCTTTCAGCAGCAACTCTGACCAAAGCCCCTTTCCTCCAACTGCCTGATGAGGAGTGTAACACTGACCTGTTTGTCAGGAAAAGCCATTCTGTGATTCCCTTACAAACCAAATCATGACGCAGGGGTTTACTCACCCTATACTGTTGGTCCTGGTGATGAAATCTGAGTTCTGCACTGTTTGCCAGATCAGGAGGTTGAGCACTATTTAAAACTCCTCATCCAGTTTATTCTTCTTCAACAACCCTGTTATGATCCTGCCTCAGTGTGCAGAGAGGGACCTTGTCATGTCCGTTCCATTTCTTCCATTAAAAATTTCTTCACAGAAAGGGTTGTTAACATTGGAAGGGGTTGCCCAGGGAGGTGGTGGAATTCCCATCCCTAGATGTGCCCAAGGAACACCTGGATATAACACTGAGTGCTCTGGACTGGGTGACAAGGTGAGGATTGGCCACAGGTGGACTTGATGGTCTCAGATGTCTTTTCCAACCTCAGTGATTCTGGGATTCCAGGCATACTTCTCTTCACTCAGAGACTTGAACCTTGATAATCATTATGTCATATCTGGATCAACATTTCCAAGCTCAGCATCTCTGGCCTGGGCTCAGACATTCAGGGTGTTCCAGTGGCTCCTGCCCAAAGGTTGCTCTCAATGAGCATCACTCACATTTTGCCAAAATGAAGCTGTCTGGAGTCTGGTAGAGTTGGAGGAATTTTCTTGGTGTCCAGGACTCCCTGTTCTCCACAGAACCCTTATTCTTCCTGATCTCTTGTGACATACCCCAGAGCTGCAGTATTTCACCCTAGAAGCAGCAGTGCCAGTGATTTCAGCAGCTAGTGGAGACCACCTGCATCTGCCCACTTTGAACCATTGCCTCTGCTGGGTGGCACTTGCAGCATGCTCCAGGTGACAGGGTAGCACCCTGAGTGGGTAGCTTTTGGCTAAGTTGCATGTTGCAATGGTATTGATGTTATTGATACTATTTATGCCCACTCAGGATAAAAGTTTCTACATCCTGCTTGGTCATCAGGGAGCAATGGTAAGAAGAAGTAACAAACAATGGGATGTTTAATTCTCCTGGAAAATTTGGAGTCTTTGTGCCCCTCCAGCTGGAACTTGAGGTACAAGAAATCTGTGTCCACCAAGGACTGACATTGTATTAGTTCTGCTTAAGAGCTGTTTACTTTGTGCTTCAGGGGCCTCATGGCACAGACAGGGCAAGGTGGTGGCTGTGGTGTTTGTGGCCCTGCAGTGGTCTGAGCTGGTCACACCACTTCAGGAGATGCCTCTCTCTGAGCTGAGGTGCCCAGTGTCAGTGAGGGTGAATTCGGAGACAGGTCCCTGAGTTACCCCCTAACAAAGCCAGCACCTCTTGCTGTTCTCAGGGAAACCCCAATGTCTGAGCTGGAGACATGGCTGAGAGCCCAGACTCATCCCACCCCTGGAGAAAGGGATTTTCTCCTCTGAGAGCATGGAATGGGGAGCTGGGTGTCTGCAGACAGTCCCTGGCTGAGTGTTTGCTGATCTGGATCAGGAGCCTTTAATGGGCGCCTGCAAACCCACACTTACCTTTGGCCCCATTGGGAGATGTGGTGCTCTTCCCTTTGGAGCTCTCTGAGTGTGGAGAAGGAGACAGAAACACCTCATTAGAGACCACGTGGAATGAGTGTCTCTCCAGGCACCTGGGAATCCGTAACATCTCGGAGTTGCTCTGTCAGAGGTCTTGGATGCCCCAGTTGGCAGCTGTGCAGGGGGCAGTACAGACTGGGGCAACCCGCTGGGATTTCTTAGTGCCACCTTTGGCTCTGGTGACACCAGCCTGGCACCAGCTGAGCTGCTGCAGTCTGTGCTGTGCCTGAAGCTCAGGGACAGTGTCCCCACCAACCATTCCCTCCTCAGCTCAGCTTCTCTGGCAGTACTGCAAACAGAGAGAAGGACAGGAGTTGTTGAAATAGTCAGGAAAGGTGCGAGGGTATTTTCTGATCTATCTCTTGTATTTTGGGATAATTAAAGATGATCAATATCAAAACATTAATTCTTCAGGGCTAAGCCACGCAGTGAAAGCAGAAACAAGTACAATGAAAACCACCTTCATTTTGGTTTGTTTTTATTTGGGATAGAATGCTGGGATGTGCTGAACACTGTTTGAGAGTCTCTACTCTGATTTTATTAATGAACGATGGAATTCGTTAATTCTTCCTCTCTTGGGACCTGTAGCTCTAACAAGCAGGACAGAAACTTAGATGGAAATTAACACAGAACAGTCTGCTCATGAAACATGAGGGAAATTGCTTTTCTCTGATACTAATCCTCTTCAGTATTTGTTTGCCTTCCATTCCAGAATGTGATCTTCTTTGTCTCCATGGAGTAATTTCTAGCTGAGGTCTCTTCCTAATCTGCTTCTTTCTTGTGGAAAAACAACCTTTGGAGCTCTTCCTACCAGTCACATTGCCCAGGCTGGAGATGGCTCAGTCCAAGAGTTTGTCTTGAAGCAGGTTGTTATTCCCACAGTGTGAATCTTGGTGGGAATATCCCTGACTGGCTGAGGAACAATCTCTGCTGGACTTTGCCAGGGTGATTTTATTTTCAGGTAGGAGAAATCTCTGCTGCTTCCTGGGCAGTGTGACTGAACCTGACTGTTGACCTGCTGTGAATTTCTGCTGAGGAGACAGCAGGGGAAACAGAACCTTTCCCTTCTTCTCCCACAGAACTGCACCTGCACCCCCAGTTTTTCCCAGCTGAAGGAGGGTTTGTCTCTCTACAGAGTGGATGTGAAGAAAATTGCCTTCCTTGAGCATCTGGAACAAGTGGACAGCCTTCTGTCTCAGAAAAAGTGCATTCGATTCAATAATTATAAAGCAAAATAGATCGCTATGATTACATGGCCACTGACCTGGTATTTGTACCAATCTGCCCCTCTTCCCATACCTCCAGTCCAGGTCCCAATTCCCAAGGGAGAAGCCTTCCCTGGTGCAGGATCCATCAGTTCTCAACTCAGTCATCTTAGGAGCATGAAAAAAGACCTGAGAAAAAAATCACATCCTGGATCCAACCCAAGGCTTTCTGGGGCTCCATAATTTCTAGTTTACTTAGTCTTTCCAGTTTTGTGTCTCCTTGTTGCAAGTTTAATGGAAGTTCCTTGGTGCCAGGTTTTGATAGAGGTTCAAACTGATGAAAAGTCTTATGAGGAAGTGATGTTTTATTGTAGTGTAGAAATAGAAGTGGAATGAGGTTTACCCACCTTTAGACATGGAATGCTTAAGGTCCAGCCCCAGACTGTTGTCTTTCATTCCTGCATACCAAGAAAGGCAGAGGTGTCTCCAGAGGGCAGGGCTTCCTTTCCTGGGAAAAATGTCCAGGACAGAAAGGCAAGGTGGCTTTTGAACCACTGATTTCTTTCCACTGACTCCACAGGTGCTTGACTGAGTGAGGCAGGCTGAGTGCAACTTTATGCCAGTGAGGACAGTGGAGACCAGAGTCCTTCATGCTGCTTTTTGTGTGAAATTCCCTGTAGAATTATGCATATTATTCTGTGCTCTGTGCTGTGTAAAGGGAAACCCTTGGATTCATAAGAGTAAATGTTTTATCTCACTGGAAGTGCTGCTGGTGGTGACCACATGTCCTTTCCAGATGTTTATTCTTTACATTTCTTTTGTGCAGTCAAACAACTCTGTCCATCCCATGCCTGGAAGTGCTACTGTCTTGTGGTGAAATTTAACATTTCAAATGTAATGGGTTAATGTAAATAACTTACTTGAAATCACTGTTCTGTTGTTCTGTGGCACTGTCTGAAGATGAGCAGCCCCTCTACAGAGTCACTCCTGGTATGACATGTAGCAAAAATGTGTATAAATAAATGTGGTTCAGTCAGGGACTGATTTCCTGACCTCCAGGTAAAACTCCCCATCAGTCCCAGGGAACATCATCAGCCACGACTTCACTGGCCTGGGAAAGCCCCCACACTTTTGGATTCCATCCACTGCTAATGAAACCTTTCTCATTTGTATCTCATCACTGCTGACAGTAAAACCAAACAGGAGTTTGGGGTTGACTCTCCTCAGTCCTGGACTTTGCAAATTAATGAAGCCACCACTGCCATGAGCTGAGATCCCCATGCAGCCTTTGCAGGATTCAGCTGCAAGGGTGCTGAGAGGAGACAAGAACCTTCAATTACATTAATTTCTATAACTGGAAGCACAGACAAACTTTGCAGTTCAGACCCCCGCTGAAAGTTTGGACCCTTTTCTAATTTTATGTGGTTATAACATCACAGATGGTACTGAATAAGAACAAGCCAAAAAGAGCAGGACCTGCTCTAAACAAGTGGGAGAACCTTTGGATGGTTGTATTTCTCCTGAGGTTCCAGTCCTGCCCCAAGCCAGAGGAATTCATATCCTTCCTTTTTAGTTGCAGGCACATTTTTTACCTCTAACAAGGATGATGACAGTAGTCAGCTTGTATAAGAGCTTGGAGACAGCCAGTGTGAACATCCCCTGGGAGCAGGATGTCTCAGAGCTATTATTAGCATTTCATAAACTGCCTATTTGTCCATCCCATCAGTCCAGACAGGCCTTTTCCTGAGGGATCTGCTTGAGCTTCCCAAGACCATCAACTGCTCTCACATTTCTGCTTCCACCACCTCTCACATCAAAGAATCCCATGCTGTGGGAAAACCACCTGCCTGTGTTACCTTGTCCTCATGACCTGGTGGATGGTTTCACTCCTGTCCACTCACTCCCTTATTTGGGGAACAGTGAACTGGGTCTCTGTTCATTAAACTTCCACTTTGGGCATGATCAGACATCCACCACCTCAACCCAGCTTTCATTTTCTGTCTCCTTTGCTTGTGGATAGATTGGATCTAGAATTTATTACACTTAGTGCTCTTCACTGTGTCTTTTCCATCTTTTCCATCTTTTTTTGAGACAGAGAAATCCACTAGAAGTGCACTGTGTGGTCTGTGTCACAATGTGATAATATTTTATCATTGATTCCTTCCCAATAACTCCCAGTGCTGACATAGCTGTCTTGGGCACTCACCCAGTTCTGGATTTCTCTTTGACACAGGATCTGTGGTGACGAGATTGATGCTGGCACCATGACCATCCAGAAGGCCATCCAGCTCCTGTGCTCCTCCGATGACAAGTACCAGGCCATGGGGGCTTACTACCTGCAGCACACCTGCTTCCAGGATGAGTCTGCCAAGCAAGAGGTGAGAAGACTCCTCCAGTGCCACACTGGGACTGGGGGCACAAGAGAGGGATGGGACTGGTTTTCCTTAGTGCCAAGGATCCATAGGCTCTTTTGGTTTTCATGAGGATGCTTTATACCTCTTTAGTCAAGCTCAGGTATCAATTAAATCGATTTTTCAACTATTGATGGTCACTTTCTCACAACAGCAGTTGGTCAGGATTTAATGCCTGGAACAGTTTCTGGGCAGCAGAGGAGACTGTTCCTGTTGCCACCACAAGCTGCCGTGGCAGAGGGTGATGGGGTTTGACTGTGGAAGCTGCCATCCAGTGTCCTCTCCTGAGGGCAAGTGCACCCGCTTCCACATCAATCTTGCACCTAGTTCTGCATCAATCTTTCACTATCTTAGAACTGCAGAGTCAGAGCTGGATAAAGCTGCTTTAAATCCCACTGTGACCTCTGCTGGGCAATGGTCAGTGACCCTGCAGCCCTTTGCCAGCCTTTTTCACAGCCCTTTTCCAGACTATTTCAGCCGCCTGAGCCAATGGGCTAATTAGTGATCATGTACAAAGATAATTTTGCACATCCATAGTGGTGGCTGCCCCATCCTGGAAGTGCCCAAGGCCAGGATGGGAAGCGCTTGGAACACCCTGGAATAGAGGAAGGTGTCTCTGGCCATGGCAGGGTGTGGGACAAGATGAGTTTTAAGGTCCTTTCCCACCCAAACCCCTCTGTGATTCTGTGATACCTGACCACAGAGAACTCTTCTTATAGCACAGGTTATTTTCTGATGCTTTTACTCCTCATTTCCTTTGCCAACATGCAGCAAAGGAGGCAGACTGAAGGATGGATCTGCTGTGGCAAGGATGTCACCAAAGTTTATCCCCACCCTCGATTTACTGAGATGCCAACACTTTAGAAGTGGCTTTCCCTGTCCTGGCATAGCAGCGGAGCTGGAAGCCCTGGCCAGGCGTGGGGCTGTGCCCCTGTGCCCTGGCTGTGCCTGGATGAGTGCAGGTGCCCAGCCCACGTTCAGGTGGCCGATTGTGAGGTGGTCACACCCTTTGTTACCGTTGCAAACCCTCTCTGAGCACTGGGCTGTCCCATCCTTCCCAGGAAGATGTGCCAGAGCAGGTCGGTGACTCATCCCAGCACACGCTTGTTTTCCTTCCCTCCCCAAAAGGTGCTCATTCATTGTCCATTGTCAGCAACCCTCAGCCGAAGGGGTGTTTGTGGCAGGAGGGCTCCGGGCGGGATCACAGCAGAGCACATCCCAGAGTGGGAACGCTCAGCATTTGGAGAGCTCAGCTGCAGGGATTCGCCTTCAAAGCTCCATGTGCTGCCTGTGGTGTCCTGCAGGTCTGGACTCGCTCCACTGCCTGTGGCTGACTCGAGGGTGGTGACACTGGCCATGACCATCCCTCTCAGCTCAGCCTGTGATTTCAGGATGCAGATAAATGACCACAGCATGTCATTAGATGGCTATAAATGGCCTCTGCACATAGACAAGGCAGCATTTCCACTCGGTGCAGACTGTGGAGGTGGGTGAAAGTTTGCAGAAACACATTTCCATCAGTGGAGTACTCTGTCCATGGCCATTACTCACAGACAGCTGCTCCTGTAGTTTAAGCTTTTGGCTCCAACCTCCGGTCCAGGAGCTCTGTGCTCATGACCCACAGCCTGAACCAGACTTGTCATCTCTGGCCCTCATTCCCTGGCAGCTCTGGTCCTCCAGCTCCCCCAGGATGGGCCGTCCAACCCCTGGCACTGCTGGGGCAGTTCTGGGTATCCCTGTCCCAGCAGTGTCCTGTGCTCTGTGCTGATGGCCCATGTCTGTCCTGGTGCATTGCTTTTGGCAGCTGTCAGTCCCATGTCTCTCCCTTTGCTCCATGCTCATGTCCCCATGTCCCGTGTATGTCCCATGTCTCTCCCCATGCTCATGTCCCGTGTCTGTCCCATGTCTCTCCCCATGCTCATGTCCCGTGTCTGTCCCATGTCTCTCCCCATGCTCATGTCCCGTGTATGTCCCATGTCTCTCCCCATGCTCATGTCCCGTGTATGTCCCATGTCTCTCCCCACGCTCATGTCCCGTGTCTGTCCCATGTCTGTCCCCATGCTCATGTCCCGTGTCTGTCCCATGTCTCTCCCCACGCTCATATCCCATGTCTGTCCCATGTCTCTCTGGTCCAGGTCTATCGGCTGGGGGGCATTGCCAAGCTTGTGGAGCTGCTCCGCAGCCAGAACCAGAATGTGCAGCGGGCGGCAGCCGGAGCCCTCCGGAACCTGGTGTTCAAGAACCCCACCAACAAGATCGAAACCCGGCGGCAGAACGGGATCAGGGAGTGCGTGAGCCTCCTCCGCAGGACAGGCAACACTGAAATTCAGAAACAGCTCACAGGTACTCAGAGTCTGCTCAGCTCTGAGGTTCCCCTTGCCTGGGCTCTGTAGCCCTGGTGCTACCCTAGCACAGAGAGGAGGTTTTCTGCTCCTCTTGCACCAAAGGGTGACCTAAATCAGAAAGCAGAGGAGGTCCTGGCCCTTCCATGTTCCATAAGGACTCCTCACTTCCTAAGTGCCTGCTGGGGAAGCACCTGCCCCAGGTCCCCTCCCAGTTATGGTCACCCTGCCATTCCCACACCTCCTGCACCCTGGCCACTCTGCTGTTCCCAGGGATGGCCAAGGGAGCTACCAACACTGGTAGAGTTGGCTGGGTTCTCTCCTTGGTGCCTCACCTTTGCCTGAGGAGTTGATGGGAGATTTTTGGTGCAGATCACCCTCAGCTGTGTCCCAAGTTTCACGTGCAAGCCTTTCCAAGATCCCTGGAGAGATGCTGCCCCCTGCAACCTAATAGCAATAAACAGCAATTTTGGGAGGAGGAAGGATGCTTAAATGCCCACTTCCATGTAGACCCATCCTGCCTATCTCCCATAGGGTGGACAGGGACCGAGGTTTCAGGTAGCCTCTGCACCCTCAGCTCAGAGTGGTGAAGGGAAGAAGGATTTTGGTGGTGGAATCACCCTCACCTAAACAAAGTTCCTAATGCACATGACCTTGTGCTTGAGCTTGTGTCCCACCCCTTTCTAGGACTGCTCTGGAACCTCTCCTCCACTGATGAACTAAAAGAAGAGTTGATACAGGAGGCTCTGCCTGTGCTGACAGACTGTGTTATCATCCCTTTCTCGGGCTGGTCTGATGGCAGCTGCAACAGGACACGAGAAATTATCGACCCAGAAGTGTTCTTCAATGCTACAGGGTGTTTGAGGTGAGTCATCAGGCAGGGACTGACTGTAGCTTGTGTCTGTGGGCAGAAGCTGAAGCCATCTAAATCCTCTTACAATAAGCTGAATTCATGCTCATTACAACTGTGTTAAGGAAAAATTCTTCTTGAGAGTTTTCTTGACTAAGAGAAGGTGCAGAAAAAAAATTACATACAAAATATTTTTCTAGTAGCTTTTTATTTTTAATAGTTTTGTTCTTGCTAAGTCTCTTCTCAAAAAAAAAGGAAGTTGTTTTGTGCACTAATGAAACCCATCAGTGTTTAACTCAGACCAGGAAACTGAGATTTTGCCTTTAGAGTTTTGAGGCTTCCAGAGAAAACAAACTGATTTAGGGTTTAGGTGGCAAAAAGACAGAATTCTCTTTGTGGGGAAAACAAGCATTTTCATACTTCTTTTGATAACTGCTTTAGTACAGAACAGTCCCATTGTCCTGGACTTTTCCTGGGTCATTTGATCTGGAGACTCAGCTACGAAACAGGAGGTACAGACTGAGCCCAGATTAGTTTATTTTGTTCACGGGAAACCAGAGTCCTTTTGTAGAGGATCTTCGCCCTGACTTGCTGTTTCTCCTCCCTTCCTCCTCCACTTGGGTATGAGCTCCTTGTCTCAATGGGAACAAGTGGGGCAAAAAACCTGCCCTGTATAATGAGGTGCTTTCATCAAGGGAAGCTCTCCCCGAGGGAGGCAGCGCCGGCCGCGCCCTTCCCAGACATGCAGCTCGCAGGAGCTGGAGCTGCTTATGAAACGAGGGGCTGATCATGGCAGGGCCTTTGGAGACCTGATACCATCGGCTTCTGTGGCTGGGAACCGTGTCTGGGAGATAGGGAGTGCTGCTCCCTCCTTGCTTGTCCTGGAAGGCAGCTCCCTGAGCAGCTGCAGCTCGGGATGTGTGGGTAACAGTGGGTATGAGCTGCTCTGCTTTAAGGCCATCCCAGCCTACCTAAATATCCCATTAAAATGAGAGAAAGACAATGGCAGCTGCTTGCAAAAACCCTGTGGAGTTTAACTGGAGGTAGGCTTTGCCTCCTGAGACTGATCCCAGCCTGTGGCAGCAGTGCCCAACATCTCAAGGAAGACTGGCAGCTGCAGGTCAGCAAGGAGAGCTCCAGGAGCCTGAGGGAGCAGGACTGGGGAGCAGGGAGAGTGAGGGAAGTTGGGAGTTGGATCCAGAGCCCCTGCTCCAAGGGCTGAGCCAGGACTACTCTGAGTCACTGCCCTGCCACATCAGAACACAGGGATGAGAGCAGCCCTGGGTTTGCCCTGGGCCTGAGCCATTGCTGCTCAAGCATTTCTGGATTGCAGATGAATCCATGTTAATGAGGAGGCTGCAAATCACAGTGAACATCAGATCCAGTTCTGGAATGCCTGCAGTGAATATCTCACAACCACTGCCAACCCTTCTTTGTTTTTCATTTGCAAGCTATAAGGCAATAAAATAGGGGAAAGGAAAAAAAAAAAAAAAACAACAACAAAAGAGAGCAAAACAACAAAACGCATATCCTGTTACTAGAAAAACACCCCTGTCCTGATAGCTGCCAGTGTCCAGGAACCCATTTCAACCTCACAGATGGGTCAGTCCCTCTGGAAAGAGCCATTGCTGCTCTCCAGCATCTCCAGCCCATTTCCCACACAGACATTGCTGCTGACTCTGGGTAGGTCTGTGCTTACAACCCTGTGCTTCCTGATGATCACAACCCCAGATGGTCTTTAGCCAGTCTTCCCTTTGGAAACTCCTCTCAGGACACAGTGTTTGTGTAGTGGCACATGCAGAGCCTCTGAGCAATAGGCAACCTCCTGCTAGTGACTGTCCCTAGGAGGGTGTCTTCTATGTAGAGCTCCTTGCAGGACATGTTCCAGGTGAAATCAGTCCTAAAGAACAACCAGAGAGCTGTGCACTGGTGCAGTCCCACCAAAGGCCTTCAGAACAGGAGCACCTCTTCAACCTTGCTGAAGCTGCCAAATAATCCCTAAATTCAGTGACAACCATAGCCAGAACAGGGCCCAACTCACCTTCTCTCCTACTTGTTCCCTGTGGTGCTCTTTGATGGCTTCCTCAGGAACCTGAGCTCTGCAGACATGGGGCGCCAGACCATGAGGAATTACCCCGGCCTGATCGACTCTGTCATGACTTACACCCAGAACTGCGTGGCCTCCAGCCGCCCCGATGACAAGGTACCAGCTGCTGCCCTGGGCTGATAACAATTGCAGCCTTGGGAATGCCTCAAAACCCCTTTCTAACAAACACAAGAGGTGGCTGGACTCTCTGGCTTCCCTTCCCTTCCCTTCCCTTCCCTTCCCTTCCCTTCCCTTCCCTTCCCTTCCCTTCCCTTCCCTTCCCTTCCCTTCCCTTC